CATTACGAGAGGCGGAAGATATCATCAATGGAATGCTTTTTGGGCTATGTTACTCGACTCTTCAGCCGGGGGAGTGGAGATGTGACCCCCCGTAGATACTCTAAATACATGAAAGAACTTGGAAGAAACTGAACAGTCGTACAGGACACACATTCTTAACAAGACTCGAACCTTACCAATTATGCATAGTACGTATCATGAGAAACGGATACAAATCTACATTCTTAGTATTCTCCTGTGATATAGACCAACATGGCACAACTAAGTGCTGTCATTTTTCAAGAAAGTCGGAGCTGTTACCTGTTGCTCCCTACGGCGCTGCAATATGCTGATAGTCCAGGACACAATGTAACAGGGGAGAAGAAGCCCAGCAGCACGAAGGAGGGAAATCTAGATGGAAAAAAAGAAAGAAAGAGAAGTTGGAATCAAACAATTAAAAGTTGTGAATTACAAAAAGATCAATGCAAATTTGAGCCATGCATACAGTGATATATCAAGATAATTCATCGTCCGTGTCTCCACTGGCTAGGTACAAAACATGCCTCAAGAATTGAAGAGCGAGTGCCTGCAAATAAACAGAATAGGAACAAGGATATTAGCAGAGATTCCTATTATTGATTGGTGTGGACAATAAGGACCCAATAAATGTTCCATTGAAGTGAAACCCAAAATTATTTATCTTTCCATCTAAGCAAAAACAGTAATTTGGGATATAGGGCTCAACTCGATATTCTATAACCTTAATTACAAGAGGAAATAAGGTTCGTGAATAGTACACTGCCAGTGCGAAAGGGGGAAAAAAACTAGGCAAATTGTACAATAGAATAATGCATCGCATAACACAAAAGATGACTCGAACATTTATACTCGATCTATTGTGTGCAGCAAAATGTAAAGAAAATAAAGTATACAATCGCCAATATTTTAATTAACATAAGCCAACAAGTAAGGGGCTCTGTTACTTGGACTTGTGTTTAAGCATCAATTTGTTTCCAAGTTTCTCCAACTGTTTGGATGGTCCTTGGAATATCATATCCGAATACGTGTCGGACACAAGTGTTGGATTAGGATAATTCAAACAAAATGAAGAGTCAGAGCAAGATAGGATTAATAAATTGTATTTTCATAGAGGAAACGGAAGCTTACAGTAAGGGAAGCGGCGCGGAAAAATTCAGCTCCACTAGAATCGTTATCCGAATATGCATCATAGCCTTGCCCAAAAATAGGGCGTTCTGCTGCCACTGCTAAAATTAGTTGGTAACCCAACGAAGAACAAGAGACTGTCCACTCACTGTATCAATAGAAAACACAGGGAACTAAGGGATCAAAGGTGATTAGCATACCATAGTGACCCATCCTACAGATCACCGAAAAGGTTCTGACATAAATCCTCACAAATAAGAAAGGGTCCAAGAAAATATCAAAGTTTCAATTGCAGTTACAAGACCGACATTAAAAACGAAACTGAGAAAGAAAAAGCTAAAAAAGTTTCAGCGACACTAAGTGCAGGGTTGTGGGACTTGGCTGATATCAATTGTAGTAACCTCTGGCTGAGGAGGTGGTGGCACAATATATCCCAGTTCATAAGAATGCAAATCAAATGTTTTTTTCAGGAATAAGTAAAGTGGCCCAGTAATTCAACTCATACATAACTATTTCAATGAATGAGATAATGATGATCGAGTTTGTTGTCCAGAAGAAAAGTTTAACAATACAGATATATTATATGAATCTTCCAACAAATACATATAAGTCTATCATATTTTGATATACCATGTGATACACCAGATGACAACAAAAGTCACCAAGTAATGGCTACTGAAAAAGAACTATCAATTATCAAATGCATTTGATGACAAGCACCAGAGTACCGTGACTCAAAAGTTTGTAAATGCAAATTTACACCCTTGTTAATTTAAAAAACTAATATGAAATCCGATACTTGTTTATATTCATGAATTATGCAATAAGGTACGTGTAAAATACGATTATAGAAAAACAGCATATTTGATCATCCTACTTGAAATGATGATGACAACAACATTTCTGGAGCAGGGGTGTACCTGATGACATATCTCACAAATTAAATCTCCCTTCTCATTGCACCAACGCTGAATGCATTTCCTATGAGCAAACTGGACAACAAAAATTTGTCAGCCAAAGCCATAAAACCATAAATATATAAGATTGCAAATGACACCATATAACGATCAAGCTGTTACGCTATAAGTCACGAAATTCCCCAATGAAGGAATACCTTCAAACTGCCACTGCATGAACAAGGTGCCTCCAAATTTTCAATGCTGTCCTCATCCTGGCAGATTCGGCATTCGACCGTCAGGATGAGTGGTTCTTCTTCGTCACATGAACCATGTTCTTCCACATCCTCAACACCAATAGCGCAGACATCTGGCTCAACAACTATAGAAGAATCTTCACCCCAAGATCCCGCAACCTCGGCTTCTTGCATCGGTTACGAACTGTCGGGTGTCGCGAGCCGGTCCATACATAAAACCAGATGATCACTCATTCTCTATCGGAAACGAGAGTTCCTTGATATACAACAATGTAGCAAAAGAAAATACCCACTAATGTCAGAATACAAATGAAGTTGGAATTGCAAAATATACTTCCAAAATTCAACCGTTTACAAACATAATAAAATTCTAAATCAACCCAAACAACATTCCCAATCATAAAACAAATACCATAAAATTAAACTAAAATTGCAGTTGTTTTGTGAATCTGAAATGCTTACCAAAAGAATCAAAACACAATATGATAATCAACGAAGAATCCAAACCCAGGTTTTGCTTTGAAAAACCCAATGTGTTTCTTTGCTTGGAAGCTGATCAAATCGATGATTGAAGAGCTTCCATTTCTCCCTTTTTTATATATTTATAAGTTAGCAGAATTAAACTAAAATACAAAACCAAAAGAGAAAAATTCAGTATTTTACTAGTATTTGGAGGCTCGGTTTAAACGATGCTTTGGAGTTTAGGCTCGGTGACGTCCGTCCAACGTTAACGTATTATTATCACGTAATTCTCGTTCAGTTCCTCGCCTGATTCTTTTTTCTTAACCGGTTTTCGGTAACGAACGTTAAACTTCACGGTTGAAAATTAGTTGATGCGTTAATTGTATAACAAGTCCTCAAACCATGGTCCTGATTTTAAATTGATCCATTAGTTTTCAGATTGTTCTGATTGAATTTCTTAAGTATTTGTATTATATCGATAAAATTTTCCACTAATTTAACTATTATCTCGTATGTTTGAAAAGTGTTATAACAAAAAATTATTATTATTATTATTTATATAAATAAATAAATAAATTTTATCCTAATTATTACATGAGTTTGATTTCCATGAATTTGGTCTCCAAATTAAATGGCCCAATGAATATTTGCCATGTGTGCTTTAATTATTAAAACATAATTTAAATAGGATAAAATATTTATTTGATCCCTCATTTACGATTATATTTATATTGTGGTCATTATTTGTTGAAATTAATCGAATTTGATGGTATGAACCAAGTGATTTCGGTAATAAAGAAATTGGTGTTGTTTTTTGAGGTTATAGATTCGAGCATTATAAATGTCAGAGGTATAAACATTTAATATCAGATGGTTGAGAATTATCTTTGAGCAGATACTAACTTGTATTTATCTTAGAATAATAAAAAACGAATTTGATAATATATGAGCGATTCTAATAAAAGGAGAAGAAGAAGATTATACAAACAAGTACAATTATATAATTTCAATAGAAAATATATAAAGAATCTAAAATACATAGTAATTTTAAATTTTCAGGGCGACTGCCCTAACTCTCCCCCTCGATTCATCCTGATTCTAAGATGGTCTCATACAAATCTAACTTGATCATTTAAAAGAAAAAATGTGTGAAAAATGATTGAACTTAGGGAAGAATTTGAATTTATAAAATTTTTAGGATTGAAAACAAAATTGTAATTAAAAAATCTAAAATATATAATTATTTTAAATTTTTAAGGATGGTTGTCCCCGCCCGCCTCTCAAGTCCATCACTGATTTTAAAATTATTTCATATAAATCTAAATTGCTAATTTGAAAGAAAAAATGTGTGAAATATGATTAGAAGATTTAATAGAGAAGACGACGATAAAGGCAAATGACGATAGTATCAAGGACGGAGCTAATAAGGAGGTGGGAGGGGCTATTTTCCCTCTCAAAAATTTTGATGTACTAGTATTTTAGGTATTTTTTTTAGTTTAAATATCAATTAAATAAGACTTTTTTCTCTTCCAAATTTTTATATTTAAATATTTCATTGAACCTTGCTCTTTCATAAAGAAAATTAACCCGTCCCAATATTTGATCTTTGTTCCGTCCTTGAATAGCATGATTTTCAAATAGAGAAGATGGTTTCAATGAGAGAGAACTTTAACATGGGGTAAATACAAGATAAGATTTTCAAATATTAATGTTTATTTTTTTTGAGTTATTTTGAATATGAACTAAATTGATAAAAAAATTAAATGTTAAAGTTTTTTTTATTAATCTGGGGTAAATACAAGACAATATCTATTAAAGGATAATTCTCAAGCATTTGACATTGAATGTTCACATCCCTGACATTCATGGTTCTCGAACCTAAGACCTCAAGGAACAACAATAATTCTTTTACCACCGAGATTAATTGGTTCATGCTAAAATTAAATTTACAACATTATTTTAAATTATAACAAATTGATCAAATATATTAATTTCAATACTTAAAAAAATATTGTATTAGATCATGTCACCATAAGGAAAATATAACTGTGAATAATTAAAATAAAAAAAAACAATTTTAGTTACTAAAATATAAAAAAATAGTGTGGTGACCGAAGTACAAATAAAATAACAATTTGATTACCAAATAGGTAGTTTACCCATAAATTTTTTTTTATTCTGATAAACCCTAATTAAGGTACCTCCTTTTATAGTTTATATGCCAAAACCAAAATAAATAATTAAAAAAAAAAGCGTCTCTCCTACTGAATTACTCCTGCCGTCAAACATTGACGGAAGACATGGATACCGAAACTCTTGCCCCGCCGGCCCAGAACTCCGATGACGGCGTCGATTCTAAGGGGGTCAACAACGGCGACTTGAAATCGAAACGCGGGAGAGAAGAAGACGGCGAAGGAAGCGACAAGGCATCCAAGAAACAGATGGTGGAGAAGTCTGTGGAGGAAGAAAGCATAGAGAATAAGAAGTCGGAGCCCTCCGAGTCGGGTCGGGTCCGTCTGGGCCCGAAGGAGTTCGGATCGTCTGTGGAGATGTTTGATTACTTTTACAATCTCCTTCACTATTGGCCTACTCAATTCAACCTTAACAAGGTAATTAAAAGATCTTAACTTTCTTCTTTTGCAGTTTTCTTCTTTGCTTTAATGAGTAAGCAGTAGGTTTTGTAAAACGATATATGCTTTATGGGAACTGTTAGCACTGTTACTATTATGTTTTATAATTCACTTTATACACACAGTATGAACACAGGGTGATGCTGGAATTGCTTAAGAAAGGTCACGAAGAGTCTGATAAAAAAATTGGTGGAGGGATCAAAGCATTTCAAATCCGGATCCATCCGGTGTGGAAAAGTAAATGTTTCTTTGCCATTAGGGAGGATGAAACCGTCGAAGATTTCAGCTTTAGGAAGTGCGTTGATCATATACTTCCCTTGCCGGACGAGATGAAGAAACCCAATGCAAACAGGGCATCGGGTGGTGGACGTAGTGGAACAGGCGGTGCGCGAGGCCGCGGTGGTAAGTCGAGAAAGTAAGCCACTCGTTCTTGGATGGGAGTTTGAATCTGTATCCGAATCTGTTCTAGCTAGGTTCCTGAATTACTTTATACAGATTTTGAATGGTGATTTAACGATCAAATGCTGCCGTGTACTGTGTCTTTGTTTAGCGTTGTTTGTTCTTGCCAAAGATTAAAAGAAAGTTGAATTTAGCATTCATTTGATATTGTCAAAAGTAACCAGTTGCTTCCGAACAAATTCAGTCCCCTTCTCAATGCTGGCCTTCAATTGTGGTTTAAGAGCTTCCAATGCCATCAATTTGTACTCGGATAACCCTACGAGGTCAGACGGAATTGAAGCTTCTACCCCATTCCTTCCGAGCTTGATCCTAGATGCAAAAAATGGAAGATTGGTCAGATCGGACTGCATGAATGAGCACTCATAGACGTCCCCATCTCCACCCAGAGCACGAAGGGATAATTCGACGAATCTTGCGGCTGCATGGGCGATGGACAGTGTGGCAGACCCTGTACCTGCCTTTGCCTCCACAACCTCTGTCCCGGCATTGTGAATCCGGACGGTCAGATGTTCCACTTCTTCACCGGTAAAGGTAATAGCGGGTTTCATCATTGACAGCAGTGGTAAAATGGTGATACCTGATTGTTCTCCTACAACCGGAACATCCACATCAATGAGCTTAAGGTTTTTCTTCTGAGCAACGAATGTGTTAGCTATGACAACATCCGATGTGGTAACACCGAAAATATATAAAATATTATTCTAGAAAAGATTCTCAACATTTATAAAATTAATAGCTAAAACTTTGACATATATCCATAATCAAATGAACATTAAAATATATAAATATGATATGAGATTTATCATTGTTACTAGAGGTGCACAAAAAATCCGAATATCCGATTTTGCACAAAAAATATCTGAAACCGGATTTGGGAAAAACCAGTTTTTTTTAAACCGGATCGGATATTTTAAAACCGGATAGTATAACCGGTTTGGGAAAAAAATTGGATGACCGGATTTTTTACGGGATTAAAAACCGATTTGAAAAAAAACGGATAAAAAACTGGTTTTTTATCCGGAAAAAATCTGGTCTGGGGTTTAAAAATCCGGTCTAAGGTTTAAAACTTGGATGACCGGATTTTTTACTAGATTAAAAACTGGTTTTTTTCAAACCAAAACCGGTTACATCATCCGGCCCTCCAAACCGATTATGATCTGAACCGATTTTTTGGCTTAGTAAAAAAACCGGATCAATTTTTATCCGATCCGGATCGGATTTAAATCCGGCTATGTGCATCTCTAATTGTTATTACAATAGTGAAGAATGTAAAAAGTATGTTAGAATAAGATAGTTTATAGGTAGAGAAGAAAAAATAATAATAGGGCAAGTGTTTTATATTACAATTGTATTGTGTATTAATAAAAGTGTTACTTTCTCTTGTTTTAAGGTAGTAGTTCACTTGTTTTAATTTTAATATATGATCGGTTTTATTTAGTGGTGAGTCCATTAAGAATCTAAGGTGAGCACATGCACATTTTGAAATTCGAATTTTCTTCGAATAATTATATATTTTAATAGTTTTGTCTACCTTAAAATTTTAGTTGTGTTCACCCTTAATCAAAATTTTATGTGTTTAATTTATATGCGTGTACACCTTAAAAAATATTTATATATTTGCCACTGCTGGTGATAATAGAACAATACAACAAAAATAATATGTTAATAACTGAATATATCATATCTAAAATATAATATATTTTGAACGGTACGAACCAAATGACCTCAGTAATAAAAAAATTATATTTAAACATATACAAAATATAAGAGATTTTTTATATATTTTATGGAGGAAAAAATATCTACACGTGGTTTAGTTAGGTGGCGTTTGGTTTGCTGGAATGTTTATGAGGGAATTGGAATCTGTCAGGAATTGGAATCCAGTTCCATATTCTGTTTGGTTCGCAGGAAATTGAATTGGAATCCAATTCCATATTCTGTTTGGTTCGCAGACATGTCAAATGAATTTGATTTTAGTAATGTAAAATGACATGATTACATTTCTTATTTTTTTTGCTTAATTTTAGTTTGTTTTATAAATCACATGTAGTAATATATTAAAAAAATTAAAAAAAATTAAATTTAAATTTTATTGATTGATTATTCATTTCAATAAATTATAAAAATCATGCTAATAAATATCATAAGTTAAAATCATCCCAATTAGGGATGGCCATGGGTCGGGTTGGGTCGGGTTTTTGGTGCACCCGACCCGACCCGAGAACAAGGGAACCTCCATCCGAGACCCGACCAAACCAAAATAAAGTTTCACCCGACCTGACCAGAATATATGAATTAGAAACCCGACCTGAAATAATAAAAAATTATTTTTATTCAATAAAAACAGTGACTTAATTGGAAAAAAAAACATATATATAGAGGGGTATTATTGTAATTATTCCTAAATATATAAGGTAAAAAATTATATATTTTTTGGGTCGGGTCGGGTCGGGTATTTTTCACCCTAAACTCGACTCAACCCGAATATCACACTTAAAAAAACCGACTCGACCCGACCAAAATAAAGTTTCACCCAACCCGACCCGAATATATGAATTAGAAATCCGACCCGACCTGACCCGAAATAATAAAAAAATATTTTTATTCAATAAAAACAGTGACTTAATTTAAAAAAATTATATATAGAGGGGTATTATTGTAATTATTCCTAAATATATAAGGTAAAATTATATATATTTTCGGGTCGAGTATTTTTCACCCTAAACCCGAGCTCAACCCGACCCGAATATCACACTTAAAAAAACTAACCCGACCCGACCAAAATAAAGTTTCACCCTACCCGATCCGAATATATGAATTAGAAACCTGACCCGAAATAATAAAAAAAATATTTTTATTCAATATATGAATAAGTTACCAAAAGATTGATGTGGATAGTATAGTCAAATTTCAATTCCCTCCAACAAGGGAATTGAATTTCATCATAGAATGGATGGAATTCACTTTCTCTTATTTGATGGAAAGTTGAAGCCATGATAGATTCTAATTCCCTTGGAAAACTTGAACCAAACATGAGAAAGTTGTGGAATTGGATTCCAATTCGCCCTAATTCCAAGGGATTCATACCAACTAAACGCCACATTAGAGTTAATTTGAAGTGAAAGTCAAGGGCATTAGCGACCTTTCGTTCTGAAATTGCAATATTACATCTGCATGTTTTATGTTACATTCCATGCCAAAAGGATCATTAATTCCTTCCATCTCTCAATTCGCTTTTTTCTCTAATAATTCTTCGTTGATCTCTACCGCGCGATTCCGGTATGTGTATCTTCGTTAATTCGATTTCGTTTTCGTTTTCCTCTGCAACTACTTGTTTATCTGATTTAGCAAAAAATATATCTTGCACGAGTGTAGGCGGGCGGGCGAGAGAGATTAGGGAAGAAGCCAAAATGAGTGAGGTGTTCGACGGTTATGAACGCCACTACTGCGAGCTCTCCGCCTATTTGACGCGAAGCTGCGCCTCCGCCGCTGTTCTTAATGGAGGTAAACTCTTACGCCGCTGTTTTAATCCCGTCGTTGATCTCTTCCTTGATCGATCACAATTTGTGTTTATCGTTGGATTCGTAGGGAGATCAAAGCTCTATTGTTTGTTTTTGCAAATGTTCATCTTTCAAAATTTAAGTTCCTGATTTAATATCATCTTTAAATTATAGCACGAAACAAGTAAAAATAGGACGTATAATTCTTTTGTACTATGTATAATTGTATGTATCATCAATGAACCAGATGATATTGATTTTGCATAAGATTATACACCTAAAGTAGCACTAATAAAAAGAACACTCCAAAATGAGAACCTATTCCATATAAAACTAGAAATGATACATTTTGTTGTTCTTTTATTTAAAGTTATTATTATTATTATTTTTACTTGAATTATTCAATATATAACCATTTATCAGAAAGTAGCGAAAGAGATCAAATCTAAGTTGGGCATGACTGGGTTCTATGATGCTTCGCTTATCCGAGTGTACATATTCAACCTATTCTCTTGAATTTGTTTATGCTAATGAGTAGGAAGGGCTAAATCTACGAGATAATGTGTTGGAATTATTTATTTCACGAGATAACGTTCTCCCAAGATTAATTGCTGAAGTAGGGCGAATTGCACATTGTTGGTCGTAGGTCGCCATGCCTTCCGGACGACCTACGACGTGGCAGCTTCCGACGAGAGAATGATCGTGTGCATGGGACATGCACAACCCAACCCATAGGTCGCTATGCACTCCCAGCGACCTCCTAGGTCGCCATGCACTCCGGGCGACCAAGGAGGTCACCATGCACGCCCAACAGCCAAGCTTTTAACCCTCTGTACGCCCTGCATGTCATAGCTGGGAGATTCCTGCCCGACGACCAAGCTTTAACCCTTTGCTCCCTCATGCATGCGTTACATCCATAGAGCGGGACGTGCAGAAATATCACATGGCCATACAAGACGGCCAAGCTTTTAACCCTCTGCACGCCCTGCATGTCATAGTTGGGAGATTCATGCCCGACGACCAAGCTTTAACCGTTTGCTCCCTCATGCATGCGTTGCATCCATAGAGCGGGACGTGCAGAAATATCACATGGCCATGCAAGGAGACAAGGTCGCCGGGCGTGCATGGCGACCTCCTTGGTCGCCCAGAGTGCATGGCGACCTAGGAGGTCGATGGGAGTGCATGGTGACTTCCACGTTGTAGGTCGCCCGGAAGGCATGGCGACCTACGGCCAACACTGTGTAATTCGCCCAACTTCAACAATTAATCTTGGGAGAACGTTATCTCGTGAAATAAATAATTCCAACACATTATCTCGTAGATTTAACCAGTAGGAAGACACTGGGATATGATGCATTTAGCTTCGATTGAGACATTGGATTTCCTGCAGCAGATGTGCTGGGAAATCCGTGGAAATCTAAATGCACTCTAGTTCTTAATGCTTGGGTTTCTGCTCAACTGGTAAAATGTTATTTTAAGGGTATTTTGGCATTATAGCCACTTTATCTATAGGGTTTTTTTGGGTAGATTCAGATGAAATACTGCATTTTAAAATGCAGGCAACGCATTAACATGTGCAAATGAATTATTTGGTGTTTTGCGAAATGTGCAAGCGAGTTATTTATATGTATCTAGAAAGATTGGTTCAGAGATTACTTATCCTGTTTCATGTTTTCTCGATTCACAGAGCAGAAAAAGCAGAAACTTTCTGAAATACAAGCAGGACTGGATGATGCTGATGCTTTGGTAGTGTTGGAAGCCGTTTTCCGTGGCTTTTTTTCTTCTTTGTTTCTACTTTCCTTGTTAATTTGATCCTTTTTCGGAATTGTTCCAGATTTGGAAAATGGACCTTGAAGCAAGGAGTTTGCAGCCAAGCATAAAGGCAACACTTCTTGCTAAGTTAAGATAATATAAAATGACCTGAGCAACTTGAAGACTGATGTTAAAAGAGTCATTTCAACTGATTCATATCAGGATGATCGCGACAAGTTGTTGGGGTCAGGAGCGGCGGATACAACGGTGGTAACCGAAACCACTCTCTTTTATCTAAATGGCCATCATTTAGTTAAGCTGATAATCTAATCTAAAACAATTTACTTCCTTCTCCTTTCTCTGATGTCATTACTTCACATGGTTGTTCGCCTTCACTTTCCTTATCATGAACTGTGAGCTGAAACCCTAATTTGCAGGTTTAAAAATGCTTGAACACATCTCTCCGATTATTCATTTATAACAATCCCAGTTTCATATTTCTGTTAATGTTCTTCGTTTGCATCTTATTTATTGTCAGCAGAACATTTTGTAATGGATACTGATTGGTGAATGGTCGCATGCATAGGCTTCTGCTGTGGATCAAAAAGGCAGATTATTGATGTCGACAGAGAGATTAAACCAGTCTACTGAAAGAATTAAGGAAAGCAGAAAAATAATTCTGGAAACAGAAGAGCTGGGTGTTTCAATCCTACAGGATTTGCATCAACAACGTCAATCTCTCCTTAATGCCCATGCCAAAGTTTGTCTTCCATCCAATCTTGTGTTTCGAAATGGTGTTCTTTGTCTTCCAAACTAGCTTAAGATGCTTGATTTCTTCATTTTTCTTAAAGTAAACACCCATGTCCTGCTCACACCTGAGACGTAACCTCATGTGGTGCTTCGATTTTCCATTTTACTTTAAGTACCTGTGTTCAACACTCACATTAACAAATATTTAAACGCTCTTCGCATACTCGTATCTGACGCTTGCACCCGAATTCGAGTAACATAAATATCTACCTGCGTCGCATCTTATGTATTGACAGCTCCATGAAGTAGATGACAACATTAGCAAGAGCAAGAAGCTGCTGACAAGCATATCAAGAAGGATGAACAGGAACAAAATAATAGCGTGGGGCGTAATTGGTTTTCTAGTTCTTGCTATATTACTTATCCTATATTTTAAGCTCATTCATTAGGGCTCGTCTTATCTATGGTTCTTCTATCTGCACCATTGTTTCATAGAATATGCATGCGTTGTAATCTGCTTCTTTAGGGCAAAATTGCTCGCATGGGCGTTGGAAAAAATAATTGGCTCGCATAGAGTTTTGTCAGAATTATTTCTTGAGATGGTGTGATTGCTACACTATTGGGAAGACGCCAGGAACACAATGTGTCTTCCTAATTCTTCCCCATTTTTCATGTAATTGGAATGCCATGATTACCATAAGAACAAAACGGAAGATGCATTATAGTCACCGCGTCTTCTTAAAGATGCATTGTGTTCCCGGCGCCTCCTGACGAACATCGTAACATTCACACTATATCAGAAAATCGAGCAAGATCCTATGTGAGCCAATAATTTTTTTCACTGCCCTACCTGAGTAATTTTGCGCTTCTTTTGTGTGTGAGCCTAATTTGAGCAAATTTAATGGCATATCAAGTCTTTTTTCTTTTGTATTTCATGCGTCTAAGTTTTGGAGTTTAACAACTTTCTTTTATTACACTTGAATTGACTGTTACAAAGGGTGTGTGTGAGCCTAATTTGAGCAAATTTAATGGAATACACAATCCTTTTTTCTTGTCTTCCATGCGTCTAAGTTTTGGAGTTTAACAATTTTTTTATTATATTTGAATTGATTATTATAAAATATTTTTATTACTGATATTTCAAATAATTTTATAGTAAACTTTTAATTTTCAAATAAGTCTTAATTTTTATGTTATACCTAAATAAATGATTATGACCCAAAAAATTGTTTGTAAAGTATGACATGTTACATGACTTTATTTGATCATTATTGTTTACACGATATTTATGAACTTATTTAATTAAGAAACATGATATATAATAGTATGGAGCTAAAAAATATTAAACAAAATAAGGTAATGCAAGACTTTATCTAGATAAAGCAATGTTTAAAGATTTTATTATCATTTTAGCTTAAACACTTATGGTAATCAATAGCGGATCTAAAAATATTTTTAATGTGCGCACACATATATATTCACCACATAAAATTTTGATAAAATATGGGCACAACTAAAATTTCATGGTGGATATACTCTTCACTACTCTAGTAACAATGATAAATTTCATCTTAGATTTATAGATTTTAGTATTCATTTGATTGTTGATACATATCAACATTTTAGCTATCAATTTTATAAATGTTGAGAATCTTATAGATAATTCTAGATGTAATATCAAATATTACAAATATCTAGATTATTTTATAAATATTTTTAGATATATATTATTTTTCGTATTATTTTTGAATGTTCTCAAGATATATCTAGTAAATAATAATTATATATTTATATAATGACTTTCCAATATTTGTATTTTTTTAATGATCAAAAAAGAAAATATTTTATTTTAAAATAAATAAATAAATATTTAATTTATACAAATTACTTTTAATTTGATACTATTAATTCTTCTACATCGTTGCCTGTAACCGCACTCTGATAAAGCTTTTGTTTTCATATTCGTTAGATATTTGATATAACTTGACAATTTATCCTCGTGCAATACCTTTATCTTGGCTTGAGTTTCTTCTCCAGCTTTCCCCGTCAAATGAGGCAACAATGTCAACCTTGTAATGTATTCAGAATTGGCGGGAGATGTCTCGTACAAAACAAGTTGTCTATAACAAGAAGTTATGTTGTGAGACGCCTAAAATAGAGTTAATAAACGGCGTGACCGGTAAAAAAAATGTACTGAGTTAAAAGCTGATTATAAATCAGAACAAAAAAAGTTATTAGTCAGAGTAACATAAATGTTGCACTAAAATGTTATATAAGGTAAGAAAATAAGTTATAATAAGTAAATATTATGAATACTATTAATATTTTATGTTTCGCCTAAAATGTTACAAAAATTTAAGTTAATGGGGCCTTAAACATTCTCACGACAAGAAAATAAGTTAAAAGCTGAAAATGTTATGAATATATATATATATAAGAAATACGATTTTACCAAGAATGTCATGGTTCACAAAAAAATAGGTTGTGACATGTAATATTAATATTTTTATTAATTATTCAAAAGTGTTTATAGATTTTAATCTTTAATTGATTCAAATATATTATTCTAATTTTTGAAATGTATTTATTAATTAATGTTATTGAATATAGATTTGATTATATGTTGATTTAGTATTTGTAAATTTTAATTCTTTGATTTAGTGTGCATAAACAAAATTCTTTGATTTAATATATATATATATAATATTTTGATTTTTTGAAAGTTACTCACTGTGGTTTAATCTATGTAGTCTTAGAGAATTTTTGTTCACTCGCTGTCATGAAGTTACTCATCGTACGGATTCATGATCATAGATGTTTGTTGTCACCGAAAAATTTCAATAAAGGATTGACATTGCTTTTAAATTTAAACTATTTATTTTAGTTTCTTATGTAGTTCTTCTCTATTTTTTTCCAGGTTTGTAGACTACTTTTTTTTTGCAGATTTTTAGGTTGTATTACAATTTTCTTATAGATTATATAATCTTATCATTTTATTAGAGTTTTTCTAAATTAATTTCGCTAAAATCTGGGAATAAGTAATGAATTTTTCCTTTTTCGGTATTGGGTGCAAAGTGATTTGGAGGGGGTTGGGTTAATCGATTACCAATTGTTATTGGGGTTAAGGGTATTGGATCTAGATTGTATATTAAATTTGGGTTATATATTGGATTTGAGTTTTAACTAGATATATTTTTTGTTTTATTTTGATTTTAGCTTGATGAATGGATTTTTAAATCCAAACAAAAATAATGTTTATAATAGACATTTTTAGTTATCTTTTGAGCATAAACAAATTCAAGAAGGAGACAAAAAAAATAAGGTAAGCACAAATTAATTTTAGGATTGACATATATATATATATATATATATATATATATATATATATATATATATATAAATTGAATACTTAATAAATTAATTTTAAATTTTAGGATGGGCACTTGCCTACCCTAAAAAAACATATAGCTCCACCACCTATGGTAATTGAAATAATTTGTCAATATCAGTGTTTATTTAATGAAAATTAATATAATTAAGGATTTTTCTAGTATTTAAATCTTCTGGAAAATAAGATCACACTTGAAATACATGCATGCATGCTTGAGTTTATATGTAATATATTCCAAGAACCTTCATGGTACTATTTAGAATATACAACACTAAGAATATGTAAACCCTAAAGTACAACCTTCACCTATGTCTCTCAAATGAGGGAGAGATTACCTAATCCATAATCTAACCGCCAATAAGATTATATTCCGTGTATTTTGGCCCCACCTTAATCTAAATATGTAAGTTTATATATCCGTAAACACTAATATAATTGGACAATAATATTGTGTCTATAAAAAGAAGATTAAACTACAGAGTTGATCACTTTTATTTTAATAGTTAATACGTTATCACTTTTGTTTCATTTTAATTAAGAAGTGATCACTGAGACATTAATCTCCATTAGTTTAATGACGTGAAATATAGTAAAATGGTTTAATTTTTATTTTAACCCCTGAACTTTTTTTTATACACACCCCTGAACTTTAGATAAAATACTAATTCAACCATTAACATTTCTCTAGCCTTTTATAATACTCTCCCTAACTAAGCCTTTAATAGAATCCTAATAATGTAAAATGAGTTTTATATATACAAAAAATGTAGTAATAATTAAAAAAAATGGCATTTGAAATCTTAACGATGGTATTGTACCGTTACTAAAAATGAAAATCCCAGACAAAAAAGTTCCAATGTAATTTCTCTTTCAAGTTAGGGTTTCGCTTCCTTCTTTCGCTTCGGTCTCTCACTTCAACCATTCTGGTAAGATCCCTAAATTCATTAATTAATTTTGATTAATTCATGATAGAATTTTATTAAACTTAGGCTTTCTCTCGTTTATTCCCAGTAATCAGGGGGTAAAGTTACAAGCTTTGAAAAGGAGAAATATAACTATTTTTGGAATTTTGAGGGGAAAATATGGATGAGGGAGAGGGAGGGGATCAGATGGAACTGATGCATAGAAACGAAGCAATCTCAGCTGTTGCTGACGATGGTTTTCTTGGCGAAGAAGATGATGATTATGAGGATCTTTATAACGATGTTAATGTTGGTGAAGGGTTTCTTCATTCTTTGAGAAAAAACGAAGATTTAGTGTTTAGAAAGGAGGAAACTAAGGATGATGCTAATCAGAATGATAATTTTGTTAATAATAATAATGTTTGTAGGAAAGTTGGTGGGTCACCAATGGGTGCACTTGAATCTGGTGTTTTGAATCCTAGGGTTGCAGATGGTGTTGAAAGAGGAGATTTTATGATTTCTCATGAGAGTCAAGGATTCAGAGGTGGTGCTTATAATGATGTGAAGGGACCCAATGTGGGTGTCGGTGGTGGTGGAAGTGGGCTTAGGGTTGAATTAGCACAAGCGTCGATTAAGTTGAATGATATGGCTGTAGACCAAAGTAGTAATAATAACTACAATGGTTTAGCTGGTGTGAGTGGTATGGGACAGCAGGGGCGTAGTCTAGGGAATGTGGGGGGCGTTGAGAATGAGGGTTTAATGAGGCAAGGAGTAGTAGGAGCCGGGAATGTGAAAGCGAACGGTGGTGGTTGTGGCGGCAGTGGTCCTATGATTGGGAATGGTGTCGGAAATGTGGGTGTGGCTAGCGCTGTCCGTGGTTCTGCACCTGGGGTCTGTGCAAGTGGGGGTGGAAGTGGTGGTGGGACGATATTGTTTGTTGGGGATTTGCATTGGTGGACGACAGATGCTGAACTAGAGTCAGAGTTGTGTAAGTATGGGCCCGTGAAGGAAGTGAAGTTTTTTGACGAGAAAGCAAGTGGGAAGTCAAAAGGATATTGTCAGGTTGAGTTTTATGATCCAGCCGCAGCCACAGCTTGTAAGGAGGGAATGAACGGGCATGTGTTTAATGGAAGGCCTTGTGTTGTTGCCTTCGCATCACCATTTACTGTTAAGAAAATGGGAGAGGCTCAATTAAATCGGAACCAACAGATGGCACAGTCTGCTCTTTCCCAAGCCGGGAGGGGCCGTAACGATGCTGGAGGCAAGCCTGTTGGCATTAACATTCAAACTGGTGGGAATTATCAAGGTGGAGATAATAACAATAGAGGTTATGGGAGAGGGAACATGGGAAGAGGCAATGCTCAGGGGATGGGAAACAGAGGGCCAGTTGGTCCTATGAGGAACAGGGCTGGCGGGATGGGCGGTAGAGGAATCATGGGAAATGGTTTCGGACAAGGTATTGGTGTAGCGCCACACCTCATGCGTCCACAATCTATGACGGGTCAAGGCTTTGGTCCTTCTTTTGGTGGAGCTATGGGAAGAATGGGCGGTTATGGAGGCTTTCCTGGTGCTCTAATGTCTCCATTCTCTGGGATGTTAAATTCGTTCCCTCCTGTTGGCGGTGTTGGTTTGCCTGGAGTGGCTCCTCATGTTAACCCTGCATTTTTTGGAAGAGGTATGCCCATGAATGGCATGGGGATGATGCCTTCAAGTGGTGTAGATAGGCCTAATATGGGATGGTCAGATCCTGGTATGGGTGGATGGGGTGGTGATGAGCATGGTGTTGGGAGAGCTGGAGAGTCTAGTTATGGGGAGGAAGCTGCATTTGATCATCAACACGGTGTAGCTAGTCACGATAGAGGAAGTTGGCAAAACCCTGTGAAAGAAAAAGATAGAGCTTCAGAAAAGGAGTGGTCTGGCTCGTCTGAAAGAAGGTATCGTGATGATAGAGAACCAGGATATGATAGGGACATGACTGGGGAGACGAATGTGGGCCATGGTTATGATTGGCCAGAAAGACGGCACCAGGATGATAGAGACATTGGTCGAGAACGTGATAGGGAGCGTGACTGGGATCAGGATCACTCTCGAGATCGTGACCGCAACAATGATAGGGAACGTGATCGAGAGAGGGATCAGGACAGATATAGGGAAGACAAAGACAGGTATGAAGATCACCATAAGTACAGAAACCGTGAGTCTGAGCATAGTAATGATTGGGATAGGGGACAGTCATCAAGGACACACAGCAAGTCACGATTATATCAGGAGGAGGAACATCGCTCAAGATCTAGAGATGCTGATTATGGGAAGAGACGACGACTTACCTCTGACTGACTTATCTGATAACTTCTATAGCAGAACCTTTCAGTTTAAGATTATATCAATAAGAAAAGAATCAGTAAGTGCTGAAACCTTAGGTTCATCATTCACTTTTGATATCTTTCTCAGCTGGTCGTCCCGTGGCCATCATTTCATAGCCATTCTTGATACATGGCCTGAGTGACTGCTTCTACCCGTGGAGTATGGTCTCAGTTTTTCATGGAAGAAGTAAGTTCCTTGAAAATCATTACCTCATCGTATCATCTGAATATTCATTACAATAAAATCGTCGTTGAATTTTCTTTTCTCTGAATTTATTGGAGTCTTGACGTTCAATATTGCTCATACATTTCCGTGCTTTTAGTCATGTATCTTAATTGTTGAAGATCTCAAATGATGCTTTAGGCTAGCTAAGATTCATGTTATGATGGTTTTTATTCATATTTTTGCTATCTTCATCCAATTATGAATATATACTACGTCCTAAGTATTGATTTGTGCAATTTTTATTGTTGTAGTTCCCTTGTTTTACATACAGTTCTACCATGCACAAAAGATCAAATGTACTTGTTGAGTTATTATTCCAATGTCGAGTAGAAAACCTTATTTAATAGTGCATTCTCAAGTTTACTTCTGCTGCACAAAGCCAACTATGATCATACACGATGTCATATTCTTTAGAAAATTGTTCCTAATTACAAGTGTTTTCTATTTGATTCATAGCTTGAAGAGTATTTGATCTTTCGAGATTTGAAGTTGTTCAGTAAAAACACTGCATCTCTGCATGGAAGATGATCTCCTAGTAGAAAAATCGTGACAGTAAAATGGTGTATTTCCTTTTGACAGCCTCGAATAGAATGAAACAAGTACTTTTGTTGTTCTTTCTTTCCTTTTCTTGTTTTGCATTTATGTTTTAGATAATATTAACACGATGAAACCGAAACCGATATCGTGGATGATGATGTTTATGGCTCGAAATCGCTGAAGCCGTCGGATTAATTTCTCAAAGTTTGAAGGAAGAGTTGGAATATGATGTAATAGGGATTTAGTTTGAGGATGTTGATGTGCATTTTCTGATGTTATTTGTATCATTTTTGCATCTTTTAAATTTATTTTTTGGGATTAGTTTTGGCTTTCAGCTGTATGTTAACCATGTTGATTTTTTTTTGAAGAGAGATGTAGAATATATTAATAATATACACCACACAAATTCTAATACATTTATATATTGTGTTATGTGTATTTATTTTGTTATTTTCATGTCATGTAGTTATATCTATATCTGTATCAACAGAATAGATTATACCTCTCAAATTTTGAGTTTAAATCAAGTCCTTGTATTTTTAAAATTTGATAATACGACCCCTTCCAATATTCGATGTATATGAATACATAGTTAGATAAAAACGTGTTGGAATCATAAATAAGATAGAAGACTTGATATTTAAGATTCCATTTCTTTTGTTATAGAGTTATGATCATTTGTTCTCTTTAAAGCAAAGCATCAATCTTAGCCTCTACTCAACAATATATGCAAGAAGAGCACCATGATAAGTTAAGTACATTATTAATGAATTAAATCTTAATTGATATTAGATTTTGAATTTGATCTTAACTAATCCTTTCTTTTATTGGAAGGATTGAAAGCTTTGATTTGTATATATATAGTTTTATGATATAGAGAGATGGATCAATGGAAGACAAGTGCCACAAAGGTACTCAAATGGAGAAAGCAAGCAAAATCTTGAGAACATCAATCTACAAGTTCCTTCAAAGCTATCAGTTCTTTACAACAATGGCTGCAATTCTTGCTTTCCCTTATGCATCCTCAGTTCTTCTTTCTCATCTCTTTGCTCCGTCGTCATCCATTGTTTTGCCATCGATTCACACTCGTCTCATGGCGGTTTTCCATGCTTTAGGGTTCCCGGTTTCATCACAACTCTTTACGGTCCTCAGTTTCAAGATTTCCCAAACCATTTACTCGTCAATCTTCGCTCTTCCCTTCACTTTTACTTTCTTTCTCGTTGCCAAATCCTCCATTTTCATAACTCTAAACCAAAGGAAACCGGGTTTTGCTTCAATCATTTCCCTCTGCAAGCCCCTCTTTGTCACCCATTTCTGCAATCTCCTTTGTATCAATATCAGCACACTCAGCGGCTTTGTTGCTGATATCATTCGCTTTTGATCTTGTTGAAGGGTTTGGGCTCTCATTGGCTCCTCGATGGATCGTTTTCATTTCGGTTCCGGGATTTCTTATTTATTCATTCATGGTTGCAAATACCATTGTAGTCTGTAACTTAGCTCTGGTTTCATCAGCAGTGGAGGAACAATCCAATGGTGGTTATTTAGCTATCGTCAAGGCATGCGTGATGCTGAAAGGGGATGCTTTTTCGACCGGTTTGACATTGACAATGGCTGTGAATCTGGCATTGGTGGCCATTGAAGCACTGTTCCATTACCGTATTGTGAAAACTTATCATGCTATTGATAACAGTGGTGATGGTGGTTTAATCGGTAGCTTTTCTATGGCTACAGAAGGGATTTTGATTGCTTATTTGTACTCCATCGTTGTTGTTCTTGATGCTGTCATGAGTTTCATGTTCTTCAAAAGCTGCAAAACTAGGCGTTTAACGGATCGACAAGGGATATTTTGTTGCATGATTGAAGAACTGCCATTGAGGAACATTGAAAGAAGCCATGAAATTCACCAAGGATCAAAAACAATAATTCATTTATGCTGCAGAAAACTTTACAAGTGAGAACAAAAGTAGTGTATTGAAGAAAATGATCCCACATCGATTAGCTCACGGTTCTCTTCTTCTGGAACGACAGAATGATCTTTGAAGCATACCATATATAGTGCCATGACATTAGCAAAATATAGCCAAAGCATAAAAGCCAGTAACAATCACCTTAGAAAAAGTAAGGTTCAGCAAGTTCAGAATCTCGAGAAATTCGAATCACAGCAAAAGAAGCAGAGCATATAGAAACAAAATGAAGGGGAAGCAAAATTGATTATGTTACAAGTTAAATTCAATATTATTCCAGATATCAGTTCGATCAATTGAAGGTCATAACGATAATTTTGATTATAAAATACTCTTATATGATATACTATAATCATAATTATACCTTATAACTTCAAAAATACCCCCAGAAGGAACTATTAATATTGTTTGTTCTTTTTGTTTTCTACCAAGACCAAAAAACATAAAAGCAGCAGCAGCATATAGACTACCGAAGTCTTAATTTTTGGTTCCATTTAAGGTTTGCAAATAAATGAATCCAAAACTACTTCGGACCAATATCCTTGAGAGCACAGATCTGCTCTTCCCCCATTGCAGACATAACAGACACAACCAGGTCTTTCCCCTCGGCAAAACCATCCTTGATCTGCACTCACCAAACCACACAAAACGTAAATTATTAAATTACCATCTTCATGATACAGAAAAGTGAGTCATTCTCATGTTTGGGATGGAGATTAGTCGTATGTAAATGTAAGCACTGGGTAAAATAAGAAACGTAATGCAGAGCAGCATTGAAACAAAAACAGAAGAAACGGTTTCAGGCTTTCAGCTAGTTTAAACATGTGAAAATAGGACTATATAACCCCATTGGAATATGGTGTTCGCTCATCCAGAGGCCGGGAAACTATTTAAGGAATAAATGATTGCAGCCAATAAAACATAAACCCCTCTTGTGCACGGTTTTAATCTCTCTTCTTTGGATAGAAGAAAGGAGACCACAAACGGTGCTGTCAATATCACCCCTTGACACAAGGGTGATTCGGCAGAAGGGGCCAGTAGCACAAAAAATGCTCACAGGTTAAAGATTGTGTGAATACTTTATATCCTAAGTTGAACTCCAGTACTCGGCTGATAAGAGGTTAATGGGTCCTCCATATGAGGATGACAATAAGCATGAAGGGAATACAAGAAGTCAACCGTAGGAAAAAGGCTTTGCTGTTTTTGGAATTCAAAAGTAAATTGAATAACAATAAAAGCTACTCTATATCAAAAGACCCAGTCTTCGAAAACATGTAAAAGAATAGTTGATTTACTTGTTTCAACAAGTTGTCATCCATTGGAAGCCTCAGATCATCCTTAGTGTCTCCACTGTCAGTCAGCAAACTCACCTGAAATATTTAACAAGTTAAGAAGAAAAACATAGACGGCCGCACAAAAAATGGAAAGGCAAAAACAAAACCAAACAAACTTACAAACCCATCCTCAGAAATGTCAATCAACTGGTAATCAGTACGATTGACGTGTGGAACCTGTTAAAACCAGGGAATAATCAATTCACCAATGCAAATGCATTGCAGATTAGAAGATTGATAAAAAAATAGCAATTGGTGAAGTAGGTTATAATTTCATACATCGCAGTTGTGGGAAGACGGGACGATATCTTCCAGCTTCTTGGAAGTGAAGATGTCAATTGCAACAAAATGACACTTCGCATGACCGTGCTTCCCGGTCTTGGAGGTCGAAACTTCTACAACCTGGCCAACGCCATACAAGTGAACAACCGTAAGTTAAGCTAAAAACCCATCAACCAATAATTCATAACACTCCAACAAACACCATCAGATTGCTCATAATAAGAAGATTCATCAAAAAGTTCCAATCTCTTAATACTAAAGTCTTAATTTAGTTTGTTCCTAGTCCTGTTCTTCTAATTTTCTTTTTGATTTAACAAAAGTCAATATAAATTAAAAGAAAATACTAAAACGTAACATCATATCCGATTCTTAATGCAAAGGTATCAATTATCCAACTATTAAAATTAATTCAACAAACAAGCAATAGATCTTAAGCATCAAAACTCAGTTAGAAATTATAAATAAATCCCAAAATAACATAAATCAAAAAGAAAATTTAGAAGTTAAAATCAAACAGAGGCGTCAATAAGAAGTGACCTTGCAGGGGCGGCCTTTGATGACGATGTAGCCGTTCTTACGGATGGTTCCGGCCTGTTGAGGGTAGGTTTTGGAGGCGCCGGCGTCGGCCTTGGATTCAAAATGATGTTCTTCGTCAGACATTTCCGAATTTCAAAAAAAAAAAACTTCTTTCCTCTTTAGGTGTGCAGCAGAAAGCAGACTGGGGGAGGAACAGATGTGCGAGCTTTTGTACGTTATTATATATAGTTAAATACTGTGAGTTAGGGTTCCCAATTTTATTTTACGATTTGCAAGGATTGGATATTTTCCATTTTTCGTTATTTCATATATAAATATTTAATAATATTATTTATTTATATATATTGATAAAATATTAAATTAATGTGCTAACATGATATTAACTGATTAAGGTGAGTATTATAATATTAGTTATTGATACATTACATTTATTACGAGGTTTTAATTATAAGAGTAAATGTTATTCTTTATAGAGATCTTGAGTTTGAGTAGTTATATTTGTAGAGCTGTCTCGAACATTTTTTAAGCCTTGAGCAAAAACTAAAAAAATACTTTTATAGAATGAAAAATCGAACGTGAGTATGGATTATGGTATAAAGCTTGATTTTGAATAATAAATAAAAAAATTAAAGAATAACGTATTATTTTGTCGTTAGATTGAAATTGAAGAAGACGGAGAGAGTTCAATAATATTAGGTAAATTGAAGAATGAGATTTGTAAAAAATATATATATATATGATTAGATTTAATTCAAAATTAAATGAATTAACGAGAGAAATGGAGAAAGGATGAGAAATTGAGAATTTTATGAAATTGAAAAAATTAGGGTCTCAATTGTAAAGGTAGAAAGTGATGTTGAAAAAACTTAGGTGTCTCACTTATAATCTAAAAAGTTAAGATTAAAAGAAACACGAGTCTCAATTATAAAGGTAGAAAGTGAGATTGAAAAAAACTAATTTCCTCAATTATTAAAGTAAAAAGTGGGATTAAAAATTAGGGACCTTAATTATAAATTTAGAAAGTGAGATTGAATAAACTTAAGGGTCTCAAATATAAAATAAAAAAATAAGATTAAAAAAATTAAGGGTCTCAATTATAAATATAAAAGAAGATTGAAAAAAATTAAAGACTTCAATAATAACGATGAAAAGTG